ATGCTATTTATATCAGAATCATAACAAAAGTGCCATGCATCTGCCTTGGCATCCAGAGGAAAAAAAATTCAACACAAGAGCAGAAAGTATGCATAGCCAAACAGAAATGGCACCAGAAGCAAAATTGTTGGAACTGTATCATGCAGGGGGGTTGTGGAAATTATTACTTGACTAAATTGGAAAAAATTGTAAGCAACACAAAAGGTTTTGGCAGTTAGATCCAAACACTTGAGAGAAATCTCCTCCTTGTCTATACTGATATCAAATGGATGTTCTGTTATATTTTGTGACACATCAACTATCAAGTTCCCTTTATAGCATTCCACAGACTTTCATATACACAATGGCCATTTACTGAACATCTACATTCTTGAACAGTGGGAAAATCAAAAGCCTTGGCCTCAAGCAGGCATGCGGTCAAACTTGCTCCACTACCTACCACAAGAACTTGCAAGTTAATTAACCTCCTCCTGACTCAGTTTCCTCATTTGACAAAGGAAGATACAGTTGCCCTCAAAAACCATGGGTTCCACATCCGTGGATTCAACCATAGATCGAAAATATTCAGGAAAAATATGGATGTTTGTGTCTGTACTGACCATGTACAGAGTTTTTTCCTTGTCTCTATACAGTATAACTATTTACATAGTACTTACATTGTATTAGGTATTATAAGTAATCTAGAGATAATTTAAAGTATATGGGAGGATTGTGTAGGTTATATGCAAATACTACATCATTTTATATAAGGGACTTGAACATCCATGAATCTGGGTATCTTTGAGGGGATGCTAAAACAAATCTCCCAAAGATACTAAGGGACAAATACAGTATCTCCCCTTCAAGCAAGTATTCTTAGCATGGAATCAAGGCCCATGTGCATGCTTTTGACCTCCCGAGTCAATGAGATACAAAACTGTGTGTGAGATGATTTTTCTAGACCACTTCTCAAAAGGCAGGTGACCCCAAAATGGCAAAGGCCACTGCTCTACAGGCTGTAGATGGATCGCAGGTGACATTCGTGGAGTGCTTGGCATACAGTGAGCTTTAACTATTTGGTGGCTGTTATTTTTAGGCCCTGAGGACATACAGAAATATAAATCAGAGCATTGGGCAAAAAAAAAAAAGTAGACAGTTACAGGTTCACCTCAGAATATCCTAACAACAGAGAAAAACAAACAAACAAAACAAATGAGTCCAGAAAAACCCCAGCAGGAAGAACTGGCAGGGTGGAGACACCAGGCGTGTCACGGCAGTGAGATGAGCACTGCCCGGGGACCCCCAGTGCTTAGGCAGGCCTTGGCATATGGCAGGTGCTCAGTGAATCATTGCTAAGTAAATGAGCAAATGAATGCCTGAAAGCAACCCAGGGTACAGGATAACACCATTTACAATGTCCCAGAAGAAAAACTAAATTCAGGAAGTGTTACTGAAAACTTAGTCTTCAGAAATCTTTCAAATATTCAATTCAAATGCTATAGTCCACATTGTCTTCCTGAAGAGTGAGGATGATAAGCCCATGCTTTTGTCATTGAGCAGTAATCTAGGTCCTTTCAATCCTCTGTGATGAGCCCTATGAGAAATTTCTTTTGGATCTATTTTTCCAGATGAATCAAAAGGCCATATTTGCCTGGAAAAAAAGAAATGTTATTACCTTCTATTTTTTTAACTTTTATTTTTCCATGAGTTGACAAGAAGCTGCCAGCTAAGTTTACAGCCCAACTTTATCAACTGTTATAGATGATCTGAGTATTCTTTCTTTCTGATACCCTTCTGTCTATATTTTTAATGACTGTCATTTACATGTTTCTATTTTGCCACATTGTAGTTATCCTTACAAGTCATCTCAAAGCCTTGGCAGGACTTGTAGTTATTTGAGAGTGGTAGAGTACTCATCAAGAACACAGGTTATTGTCCACGTGTGTGCTTTTATCAGGCCATCCTGGAGTTGGAGCCACACTCACTACAGTTTATCAGCTTTGTTAAGTCCCTTAACCTCTCCGCGTTCCTGCGGCCTTTTGTTTCGGTTGTTTGGTTGGCTTTGGCTTGTTTGTTTTGAGACAGAGTTTTATTCTTGTTGCCCAGGCTGAAGTGCAACGGTGTGACCTAGGCTCACTGCAACGTCCGCCTCCCAGGTTCAAGTGATTCTCCTGCCTCAGCTCCTGGAGTAGCTGGGATTACAGGTGCCCGCCACCACACCCGGCTAATTTTTGGCATTTTTAGTAGAGACAGGGTTTCACCACATTGGCCAGACTGTTCTCGAACTCCTGACCTCAGGTGATCCACCCGCCTCGGCCTCCCAAAGTGCTGGGATTACAAGCGTGAGCCACCGCACTCGGCCCGTTTTGTTTTTTGAGACAGGGTCTCGCTCTGTCACCCAGGCTGGAGTGCAGTGGCATGATCCTGGCTCACTGCAACCTAAAACTCTTGGGCTCAAGTGCTCCTCCCACCTTGACCTCCTGAGTAGCTGGAACTAAAGGCACATGCCACCAGAGAGATGGGGTCTCACTTTGTTGCCTGGGCTGGACTCAAACTACTGGCCTCAAGTGATCCTCCTCCCTCGGCCTCCCAAAGTGGTAGGATTACATTCCTAAGCCATTGTACCCAACCTGCACGTTTTCATAACCAACTTGTTAGGACTAAATGAAAAAAGCATGAAGGACCAAACTGTGCCTGGCACACAGTAAGTGTTCAATTAGTATTAGCCAGTAGCAGTATTAGTAGTCATTGTAGTAGAAATAGAAGTAGTAAAACTGTGGACAAATAGATGGAAAGAAAAAGTAACAAATGGTGCCTGAAACAAGTGAACAAAATACCAGTGAAAGATCAAAACCAAAAACAGAAAATGAAGCTTTTAATACTGAAAGTATATCATATTCATGTTATCTCTATTCACAGTTTTCTCAAACCTGTCTCTTCCCCTTACACATTCTCTTCCAAAAGGTGACAGTATCCTAGGCAGTGCTGAATTGAAAGTGAATATGTAAATATTATAAGAATCCAATCGATATAATTGTTCAAGCCTAGACCTGGGATATTTTTAGACATTCTTCACAAAAAGATCACTTGTGGTATTTAAAGGAAGACAATGACTGTTAGCTGTTTTTTCCCTCACTCAATTTCTCGTTTACATTATGTAGTTTATTTTTCAATCCTGGCAAAGTAAGGAGACATCTGGGGAAAGCTTCTGTGACTCTCAGCATTTACAAACCTTAGACAACCACTCCTGACACACAGCTGCACAGAAGCTTTCCTAAAGCAACTGCCTTGTTAACAGCCAGTGGCCTCCCACCAGATTCTTGATCTAGGCAGGCACCCAGCCCGAACATCCTCATGGAGCTGGCTCTGTCTCCAGCTGCCAGTCAGCTGCAGGGATCACAGCATGGGGGCCACAGAGATCTCTGTACACGGGGAAGAAGTGGATAGCTGGAACAGCACAGTTTGTCCTTGGAGAGAAAGATTTAGTTTCAAGTAAGCACTTATTGACAAATATCTATGATCACCTATCATGAACCAAGCATTAAAATGAGCATAGAAGAAAAAGGGAAAGCACAGATAACTAAAATAAAATGCTCCTCCTCAAAGAATCTTGCCGTAAGATTGACTGGGAGGCAAAGCTCTTCACATATAATCAAAGCGGCCATTTTGACTTACTTTCCTATCCTCAGAACTTAGCCAAGTGAATGTCTGCTGAATTAAAGGCAATGGATAAAAGAGATGAACTGCAGTGTGTGAAAGCAGAATTTATTTGCAACATTTCCGTTAAGTTCACCCATTTAGGAGCACACATATACTTTAAGAAACATTATTAAATTACTCTTCTTGAAAATGAAGGCCAGGCATGGTGGCTCATGTCAAGGTGGGCAGATCACTTGAGGTCAGGAGTTTGAGACCAGCCTGGCCAAAAAGGTGAAACCCCGTCTCTACTAAAAATACAAAAAGTAGCCGGGTCTGGTGGTGGGCGCCTGTAATCCCAGCTATTTGGGAAGCTGAAGTACGAGAGTTGCTTGAACCTGGGAGGCAAAGCTTGCAGTGAGCTGAGATCGCACCACTGCACTCCAGCCTGGGTGACAGAACAAGAGTCCATCCAAAAAAAAAGAGAGAGAGAGAGAAGGAAGAAAGGGAGGGGAAGAAAGAGAAAAAGAAAAAGAAGTAAGCGTCGTCTTAACAGGGGCAAGACATCCTAAAAGGCAAAGATTGGGAGAGAAGGGGATGATTTGGACAACAGTTTCAAGTAAGCCCTATACAGATGTACATCTCACAAAGTGTTTCCAAACAGAATTTCTGAGAGAGGCAGGGGTAATTATGTGCAGGCTGAGGGGGAAGAATGTAAAAGAGCAGAGCTTTTGCCATGAGACAGAAATGGGTTTGAATTCTGGCTCAGAAACTTCCTATGATAGTTGTGTAACTTTGGAAAAGCCCCTTCACCCCACAGCTTCAGGTCCTCGACTGTCTACAAGCAGGGAGTCAATCATGATATTCACAAGACTGCTGTGGGCACAAATGAAATCATGTTGTAAACTGGAGAGATTTAGGGCATTTCCACACACATTTCCCAGCTGGTCCTTACAGAGATGCAGGGAGGAAGACGTCACCACCGTCGGCGTTTATCTTGTCTTTCTTTTCGACATATCAGGTAAGCTCCAGGAACACGGGACCCACTATTCCCCACAGGGCCCCAGGACCTGCAACGTGCCTGGCACAAGCAGTCGCGCCACGAACAAGTGCTGGGTGAATAAACGAATCACTACCGCTTCGTCCCTGAGGGTGGGCAGCAGCGCCGGCCTCCTCAGAGCAGTGAGACCCTAGGAGCTGCCCGCCCGCCCAGCCCCTCCTCGGCCTGTCGCTCGCGAGTGGCCACCCCGAATGCAGCCTTACCCGGGCCCCCTCCTGGATTCTCCGCCTAACTGGGCCGGCACCTATGTGCGCGGACCCCAAGTCGAGGGGTCTCAGAGGCGCTGCCCATTCGGCGTCTCTAAGACGCCGTTCCCCGAGTGACGACGACAGTTGCTGATTGGAGAATGAGCCTGTGCGCCTGGCAAGAAGCAGTGTGATGATTGGTCAGCTAAGATGAGCGAGGAGGGCGCGGGACCAGGTCCAGCTCTGCGGCTCCGCCCCCGGAAAAATTTCCGCCGGAAGTTTCGTCCCCCAGGGAGCGGGAACTTGGGCGACCGGTGTCTTGGGAATGGGTGTCTGTTACATGGGCTTTAGCACGAGCTGGGCGTTTGGCCGAGTCCCACCGAACTGCCTAGGGCCTTGTGGCCGGGGGAAGCCAACCCCCTGCTCTGAGAAGCGGACTCTCCATCTGTAAAAGGCTAGGCATGCCCACTGGGGCCTGTGGTCAGGATTGGCGAGTCAAGTCTGCAAAGCCCCTAACGCATCCTGCGCCCTTCGTTAGGGTGAGCACTGATGGGGACTCGCATTGCGCCAACAGGTAGCGGGGTCTCATCACTGGGTCCGCTCGTCTGCTCGCGGAGACTGCCCCGTGAGGACTGGCGCTCGCCTGCTTTGCCCACCGTGTAGCCTCAGCCTCCACCCATATCCACAGTAGGCATCCATTCCATTGGTGTTCGCTAAATGATTGAATTATGACTGTGAGTGAATTATCATGTGAATGATAGTAATTGTTGTCGCCGACCCTATGGAGCACCTCCCTTTGCCAGGCACTCCCATCCTGGGTATGTACTTTACACTCACCCATCCTGGGTATGTATTTCATTTGTCTTCACAGCAGCCCTGTGAGGTAGGTGCTGTGGTTATTCCCATTGTACGGATAGGAAATTGAGGCACACAGAGCATTTTGTTCAAGGACACACTTTCAATCAGGGTTAGGAGCAGAATGAGAACCCAGGGAGCTTGCTCTTAGGCACCCTGCCACCTTTACACTGATATCCAACAGATGGCTCACTCCCTCAGTAGTCAAGAAGAAACTCTGGGATCATGGAGAGCTGTATGGCAATCATCCTCTGCCCACCCTGCAGGCGTTGAGGGCTTGGAGCTGGTTTTCACCACAATTCTGTACACCTGAGAGACTGGGCTGTAAGCTCGAGTATGTAATTATTTCACAGGCATCAGTGATGATGTTTTGAATGGAGATTATGCCTTCATGTGGAGAAATAAACAGCAGGGGCTGATTAGCCCCTAAGAAGTTAAGTACTGTTTCCACCATGTCTATTAATAAAGAAGGGAGGAAGAGCAAGCGCAGGGCAGGGAGGTGTCATTCGTCCACATGGAAGCAGAGAGCCTCTCCCTCCCGGAGAAATCTGCTTCCCTGACTGCTGTCCTTTTGGTAGCCTCATAAAATGGAGACAAGACTCTCTCCTCAGCTGTCCTGAGGAGGAAAAAAAAAATATGACATAAAAATAAATGAGGTATAAGTAGCTCTTTTGGAAAAGCTACTGTGGTTATTTTTTCTTTACTAAAATAGATGCTTTCTCTCTCGAATATTTACCTTGACAGATGACGCAGCTGCTCGTTTTAGTTCAATCAGCCAGAAACTAAATTGCACATTTTAAACACTGTCACTACAAATAATTGATTATTACTTGTAAACGGGGCCCCTTGAGGATCTGTTTGAGGCTCCTCCCTGGAGAGGGGCCCTCCCCCGGCTCAGCACGGCACCTTGGCATGTTCTCATCCTCCTTTAAGGGACTGATCTACTATTAAGTTCTTAATTTCCTTCAATAGCTACTGCTTGTTTCCTTTCATGGAAACAAGAATCAAATCCACTTTCGTTGCTCCTGAACAAGATTCCATGGTGTCAAACACCGGTATTTAGAATTTTAATGAATCCCTGCGGGGCACAGTGGCTCATGCCCATAATCCCAGCACTTTGGAAGCTGAGGCAGGTGGATCACCTGAGGTCAGGAGTTCAAGATCAGCCTGGCCAACATGGTGAAACCCCATCACCACTAAATATACAAAAATTAGCCAAGTGTGGTGGCAGGCACCTGTAATCCCAGCTACTTAGGAGGCTGAGTCAGGAGAATCACTTGAACACCAGGAGGTGAAGGTTAAAGTGAGCTAAGATTGTGCTACTGTGCTCCAGCCTGGGTGACAGAGTAAGATTCTGTTTCAAAAAAAAAAAAAAAAAAAGAATTTTAATGAATCCTGCTCTCCAAACATTATATTGCAGCAATCTTAGAAGAACGCCCCACCTCTGGAATCGAGAAGCAGTCGGGAAGAGCAGTTTTGTGTTTCCTCCTACACCTGGGCAACAGGCAGGCCCCTGACAACCGCAAGTAATTCTCTTCACGGAGAGCCTGGATCTCACAACAGCTTGTCATTAGTGCTGTTTAGCATTTAATTTGCCTTTAGTTAGGTAACAAGCATTTACGGATTACCTGTTAGGAATGAGTGCGCAGTATGGGGACAGAGGGATGAATGAGGCACAGACTCTGCTCACAGCCTACTTGGGGCTAGAAATAGTTACTCAGGAAAGAAAACTTGAAAGCAGTTAACAAATGCAAACGATACACCATTCTGGGGAATCATCACGCTTTCAGAATGCAAGACTGCAACTCCTGGCACACGTCTAAGGAAAAATGTATGTGCTGCCGCATTTCATCTCATGATGGGAGTGAGGATATGCGGTCACTCCTTCTGTGGGCCAAGGAATGATCTGGCTTTCTCTTCCTCTGCAGAGTCCCTGCATGGTAGAGACCCAGGATGGAGGCGGCCACCACCACCCATTGAAAATCAGCCTGTCAGGCTGGGTGTGGCAGTTCACACCTGTAATCCCAGCACTTTGGGAGGCTGAGGTGGGTGGATCACAAGGTCAGGAGATCAAGACCATCCTGGCTAACACGGTGAAACTCCATCTCTACTAAAAATACAAAAAATTAGCCAGGCATGCTGGCACACGCCTGTAGTCCCAGATACTTGGGGACGCTGAGGCAGGAGAATTGCTTGAACCTGAGAGGCGGAGGTTGCAGTGAGCCAAGATCGCACCACTGCACTCCAGCCTGGGCGACAGAGGGAGACTGTCTCAAAAAAAAGAGAAAAAAATCAGCCTATTTGCCCAATCTGGCCAACCCCTAAGGCCTCTGGCAAAACACTGAAGCCTAGGTGTGTCCAGGTTGGCAGTGAGCTGGGATTCATTCATGGCGGCCCCCAGGAGATTGAGTTTTTAAACCAGCCTGAGGCAGGTGGTGGACATGGATTGGCAGCACTTACAGATGGCAGGGAAGGCTTTCCAAGGGGCTGAACAGTCCATCACTGTTAGGGAAGCGAACGTTAGAAGGGCAGCTCAGAGCGAGCCATGTGGCTGGGCCAGAGAGAGCCTTCCAAGTATGTAGCCAGTGGAGGCAGCTGGACACAGCTGATGTGACACGGCCAGGCTGGATCTGTGAGATGCTGGGAGTGCTCCAACCATCCGGCTTTACGGAGCACTACTTCTGTGCTAACTTCCTGACGCCAAGGAAAGTGAGAGAGACATAGCCCTGGCCTCAAGAAGCTTTCCTGGCAGATGGCTGTGTATCCGGGATATGTTAAGAGAAGTGTAATATTAAGCAAAAGTGGAACTCTGAGCCCCCACCATTGGCAGAGGGCTTCTTAGAGTAGGTCGTGCCTGGAATGCACTGAATCAGGGTAAGCCGGGTCAAGCAGGGGAACAGCAACCCAGGCGGAGGGAAGTGTATACATGGGACACAGAGGGTGCAGACAGCCATGGTTCTGTGGCAGTGAGATGGGCGCCAGGCCACCAAATGGATCTGAGAGATTATTTCCCCATCTGGGTATTGCATGTACTATGGATTGTAAAGGGGTGACCTGCGAGAGGGAAACACTGGGGGAAAGGGCCCTGAGCCATTCACTTCAGTGTTGGGGGATGCGTGGACTGGGGAAGGGGCTCCGGCTGGCTCCCATGCAGTCTGACTCTGTAGGCAGGGCCTTGCTCACACTATCTTCAGACTTCCATTCCCAGCTGGTCCCCAGCACCACAAATACATGTAAAGATAACAACTCTAAAGAGGGAGAAAATGTAATTTTTTGGTCGATTTTTATTTTTCAAACACATTTAGCATTCTCTGGTTTTTAAAAAATGCTTTTAATAGAGCACAGACTCCTTTCCTCAGTGGTGAGGAGACAGATTTAAGGGCTGCAGCTCAGACATTCAGTGCCAGCTAGCATTCAGGGATCCAAGTGTGAGAATCAAATTGTCGTTTGATGTGTGGATTTGGCAAAGGCTCAGCACGCCTTGGAGACAGTGCCCGTGGCCCACGCTGTGTGGCAGGTGCTTCTGCCTTGGGCTGTCTCTGCTCCTGCCGGCCCAGCCTGTCATCGGCTGAAAAGTCGGCGTCTCCCACACCCATCAACTCCTCTCTGGCACTGAGTTGATGGATGGTGTGACCACACTTAAGAGGCACAGCATGCTCCTGCTGGGTGGAATTTTAAGACACCTGGTCTGTGACCTCTTCATTATGAGATGAAAGGGGCCCTCCCTGCAGTCCCACAGATAGGGGCAGAGTGGCACCAAAGCTGGCGCCCGAGCAGCAGGGAAGGGTTCTGTCCTCATTTGGGCATGTTGTTTCTTCCCACCTGGTATGTGCCCTCCCTGACTCCTGCCCCGTTTCCAGCCTCAGCTCATATGTACTCCTCACGCTAAGCAGCCTCCCTGAAGCCACCTGCTTGGAATCTCTGTGGTGCCGACTGTCCACCCCGCCCCTTTTGTTTGCCCGTTTGTTATGGAGGTGTGTGTTTAAACAGGCAAAGCAGCGTGTTGCCAGGGATGCCAGGAAAGCCCATTTAGCCATCAACTGGAGACTGACAACTAGAAGAAACCTTGGAGGCCATGTGACAGATATAGAGACAGGCTGAGAGAAGACGGGGGATGTGCCCAGGTCATACAGCCAACCAGGGACAAAGTCAGGACTTTGGAGCCCAGGTCCTCTGCTGCCTCACCAGGCCTCCTTCCATAAGGCTGTGGGCAATCGCCAGAGCAGAGCCCCAAGGGAACGGAATGGAGGGGAACTCGATTAGAAGGGGCAGAAGACCAAGGCCAGGTCACCAGGACTCAGCACAGGGCCTTGCAGAGCAGGTGCTCCTAAATGCCCAAGAGATGCAGGAAGAGAGGGGGAGATGGGGGTGCCAAGGATCTCAGCAGCTCCATGGGAATCACATTTTTGGGCTTGGGACAGAGAAAGAAGGGTTGAAGGAAGGGCACCAGAAACACAGCTGTGCCTGGAATTGGAGAGCCAGTGACCTCGGAAAGGACGTTGCAGACAGTGGGGAAGAACACGAGCCAGGCTGCACTTGTAGGAAGGACTGGGACCTGGGCCACTGGCAGTAAGGAAACGTCACTATGGAAATGGGGGCAATGGCAGGAAGTGGGGGGCCAGGGTGAGGAGACAGGAGCCCAGCCTGGGTCTCGTCTGGGAAGATGCAGCCTCTGTGGGCCAAGCAGGGACAGGAAAACCTGACGTACAGTCCCTACTCTCTGGACATCCCTGTCTCTGAGGGAGACAACCACACAACACTGAGGTGGGGCAGTGAGAAAGCAGGGACCACTGGGGAGCATGGGGGACATGCTTGCCCGGCAGAGGAGGCAGGGCTGGGCAGCTCAGGTGAGGGAAGTGATCGTCCTGAGGACCCTGGCTGTGGTAGCAGCTGCCGAGGGTGGCTCCGAGTGGAAGGGCTGTTCCAGGAGCTGGTGAGCTTACCAGAGACAGGATGTCCCTTGCCAGGGGTGTCACAGAGGCTGTTCCTCAGCTGGGTAATGCTGGGCCACCTGACCCAGGGGCCCTCCCCATCTGAAAATGCACATTGTACAATAGAGTAGAAGGGGATGTCGATGGGCAGGAATGGAGCCAAACTCTGTGGAGAACGGAGTTGGCCAGGCAGAGCTGCCGGACACCCGAGGCTCCCTCCTTCCACCACAAACAGCAATGCCCCACGGCCTAGAGAGGTGGGTAAAAACAGATCTCCACTAAGATCTCCCAGGACAGGTCCTGTGCATGGTGGCGCCTGTACCTGAGGGGATCCCTCTCTGCAGTGCTGGGGACATCGTGGATGCCCACCTAGCAGTGCTCACACACCTCCCCACCACCTGCTGACAAATGCAGCTTGGCCACCCTGGGCCCTGGTGGGCTGGCAGGGAGCAGGGCTGACACAGACTCATTTTATTTATTCTCACAAAGGAGTGTCACCATTGTTAGAACAATCCTCTGACGTGAGCAGGACAGTGATGATCACCACTGTGTAAATTGTGACTCTGGACCAGAGGAAGTGACTTACCTGCTTCAGGTCAGAAAGCCGTGGAATCTGCTGACCAAACGAGTTGGTGTCAGAGCCCAGTCAGGAGGAGGGCGACGCATGCCCAGCCCGGGCAGGGGCCGCAGTTGAAGGCCACCATTTGAGAGTTCAGGGACTTGCTTGGCAAAAAGTATGTATGTACACACACACACGTGCGGAATCTCAATTGGTCTGTGAAATGAAAACGCAGGCAATCACTGGCTTACACTTAGAGGGCTCTGACATTCGAGGCTGCCGTGGTGGATTGTTGTGTAAAGGGACTAGGCCGAGGGCTGCCCAGGACTGTCGCCCATTCCCTGCCTGTCCAGGTGTTCCTCACCCTCAGGACGCAGCTCAGACCCCACACCCCATGCCATCGAGCCAGCCCAGTGGCTCCCTCCTCCCGACCCTGTCTACCTCGGGGTTCTCAGGGCACCATTTGCCTTGGCTTGTTTTCCCTGCCTTAGCTCCAGGTGAGCACAGCAGGAACCATGCTCAGAAGCCAGCACACAAAGACCAGAGACCACAGACCCCTAGGGAACCTTGGAGATGCTCTCAGATAGTCCCCGCCCCACTTTGCAGATGTAGTGACTCACAGCCGGGACAAAGGTTCCCTCGCTCATGCCCCTGAGGTCTACCCACACAGCAGCCAGGGGAACTTCTAAAAATGCAAAGCAGGTGGCGTTCTTCTGAGTAAGCCCTCCCAAGGCTTCCTATCTTAGTACAAAAGCTGAAATCTCATGACCTGTATGTGAAGCCCTCCAGCTGGCTCGTGGCCACCCTTCCAAAACCAAGCGCCTGCCAGCACACTGCCCACCCAGCTACAGCCGGGCCATCTCCTCAGAGGCCACCCGCCCCCATTCTTTCACGGGTATGTTCCCTGTCCCCTTACAGCATGCTTGAGCCTGAATTCATCTTGGGTTCTGTCGCCTGTTTCCCCCACTGGAATGCAAACTCCACGGAGGCAGGGCTTTCTCTGCCCACTGCCACATCCTCAGTGCCTGGAACAGCGCCTGGCATGGAGCAGGTGCGGTCGAATGACCGGCTCCATAAAGCGAGGTGTAACATGAACCGTGCAGGGATGAGCAGACGTGGCTGAATCGGCACTGCCTGGGCTCCAGGTGCACTGACTGTATCCTGGCTGCTTGATGACATGTGGTTAACACATGACAAGAGGGCAAGCCCTCTAGGACACAGCAGACCAGACACTTGATTAATTAGCTCAGGGTCTGTGTCAATTCTAGGTGCCGAAATAATGTCTAGGATTTCACCTGGGACCTGGAAGTAGTAGTTCATTTGACAGTAAACATAAGTTTTGGAAGGCTCAAGCTTTCTCAAGGAAAGCAATGCCCTGGACTTTCCTTCCACAAGAAATCAGCAAGACAGACTGGAATTCCCAGTGGGGAAGCGCAATTGGCGGGCTGGCCTCGGGCACCAGTGCGCAATGCTGGGCACGGGCCCCCAGGCAGGCTGACTGGGAGTTGCCCACACCTGGACCAAGGTGCACCCACCTCTCCCCATGCATTTCTCCTTTCTCCTCCACCCCCATTTATAGAAGTGATCAGAGATTAATGAGGAAATGGGGGGTAACTGACGCCCTCGAAAGTCTGAATTTGAGTGAAATAATGGGGAGAAATGACCCCTTGGCAAGTCTGAATGCTACTTCATCAAAGCCCAACACAGACCTGTTTCCCTCTGCTGTCAACCCCAGGGAATGGGCTGTCAATGGGGCCCACACTCATGCTGTCCCAAGCGCCGAGGGCACCACGGCAGGGGCCCCCTCTGCCCCCCCAGCACACACGCTCCACGCAATGCCACGGGAATGTGTCTTTATTAAAGATGCAAGCAAGCACAGAAGGATCATGTGTAGTGCTCAGTAACATCCATACAGTACTAAAAATAGAAAAATAGAAATGAAATTTCACAGAAAGCAGCCTCCCTCACAGAAACACAGGCAAGGTGCTGCTGAGCCCACCGTGCAATGCCACGTGCCACCTGCCTGGCCATGCTTCTCCCCTTTACAAACAAAAACACAAGCTCCTCTCTGCACCCGTTTCAAAGACAGCACCAAGAACGGAGACCCCTTCCATAGCAGCAACCCTCCTGACCACCACTTTGGGTGCTTCCCAGCCATATGAATAACAGAGACAGCCCCCGTCCCCACGGGGTTGGCTGGCTGCTGGCCCCCGTGTCTCCATCACTTCAGCGACTTTGGGCCAGAAAATTAGGCAGTGAAGCAATAAACACCTCACCTTTACTCCCACAGATACGCGGAGGGACGAGGTGGACAGACATGAAGTCGGCTGTGCCAACCTGATCCAAGTGAAACAGGGCTACACTCGCAAAATGGCTCTCCCACAGCCTAGTGCCTCGGGTGCACAGAACAAACTGAATGATAAAGACCCGGGGTTTTTGGAAATTAACCATTAAGCATCTGCTTGCCAGCTAGTAGGCCATCACTTCGGGAAACAAAAGTAAAGCTGCGGAATTAAGCTCAAATTCTGATCGCAACTCAGTCCTTTGGTGGCCGACTCTCCGCTTACTGCATGCAAATGTTCCTGACTGCATGAGACTCCCATCTGCTGGCCTCACCTGGCAGCTTCCCTCAGCACATGTCCCGCGGGCCCCTAGTCTTGGGCCTTTGGAGCCACCCGCTGGAAGTCTCTGGCAGAGGGACATCCTTTCTGAAGACCTAGTGAATGGTTTCTGCTTTATTTCAGGAAGGTTCTGAAGAAGTGAACTCCATCAGAATAAAGTGTCCAGATCCCCCCAACATACCCAGCGCATCCTCTGTTCCCACCATCACCTCAGAACCAAGTGAGAACAGAATGGCTGTGCCTTAGATAATAAAACTACAAAAATAAAGTTAACCCTGAGATCTTTCTACCATTCGGGTGTGGCTCGCTCCTGATTCCCCTTGGAAATGAACTTTTATTTGGTTTACTGACATTTATGTAGATTTCCAGTGAAAAGCTCTATAAAATACAATAAATAATATGGGGTTGAAAAGGCAGACATTCTAGTTGCATATATTACAGGCTTTATCCTTGCAGTCCAGGCCCTCGGAACGGCAATGTGGAGACTATTTGTATTCAGACACGGAGAGGCTGCACGGTCTAGAGGCGAGACAGCTGCTCTGGGTTGGGAATCACCACACTCCCTCCGCTCCCGCCGCTCTTCCCTTCCCCGCTGTTTCACACGCTGCTTCGAGTTTGTCCAGCAAGTAATAAATGAATGCATACAAGGACTTTTGGCTAGTACAGTGTCTGGGTATTGTGAGCATGCAGGTTGTTGTTTCTTTATTATAAATAAAAGTCAAACGTGAGGTCACACTTTCCCATCTTCTGTTTATACACCAAGTCAAACTTCTCGTTCATGGAGACAGTGAAGATGTCCTTCCACAGCCCAACTCTCCCTGAAATGCAAACAAGAGAACAACTGCGGTGGCCACTTGCTGTCAGGGCAGCTACTGAACTAAAGGAAGCCTTGGAAATGGATCTGGAACATTCCAGATCTATTCCTGGACCCCTCTGAACTTGGCCTATAGGGGCAGGAAGGGCCATCTGAGCTACAGACCAGGTGGATCGCCTAACATTTGTGAAACTACTAGATCTGGCAAAACATGACCTGCACCAGCTTCCCTCTGAGGCTGTGGTGCAGGGAGCCACAACCACCTCCGGGTGCCCTTCTGTACCCCTCACTGGGGCCTGCCAGGGAGACTCTACTCCTGTTCAGTGTTGAGTCCCAGCACCTAGAACGGCACCTGGCACGTGGCCGGTGTTTAATAAATATCCCAGGAAGGAGTATGATCTGCCACGGGAGTGCCCTGCTCAGGGCATCGCAGGCAGCTCTGGCTGTCCCCCCCGCCATTATTCACTCGAAGCTCAACAGCGCCACCAAGGCGTCATTGGCTTCGGGAGAATTTGAAAAGGAAAAAAAAAAAAAATCATCCAGGGTGCAGAAAATTTTACAGCAGGTAGGAAGCCCTCTTGACTGGGCCGAAGGTGAGAATTTCAAGGAGCCTGCCCTCGCAAACCCTGGGGAGGAATTTAAAGTGAATAAAACAGTCGCAGCATTAGCTAGCTTTAGAGACTAGATGCAAAATGTGCCCTGCAGTGAGAATTCCCTTAGTCAACAATATAATGAGTGTGGGCACGGCCCCCAGCTGCTCTATCCCAGACTTGGTCAGAAACCCAGACCTCTTCCTGGAAGCCACAAAGGATGGTTGAGCCGTGGGCTAAGCTGCGGGCACTGGTCTGTGCTGGTTTATGAAGGCTTTGGAAAAGCAAGAGAGCTAAAAATGACGAGAAGCCCTTGCTCCCACTGTGAATATAAAACCTTAGGTTGGTCTGGTCCAATAGAAACGGTGACTGTGAAGATGTCTGAACTTCCCAGTTACGGGAGCTGTGAGTACATCACCCGAGTACTGCTTCCCTGTTTTTAAAGAACTGCTCGTTTAGGATTCTTTCCATTGTCAGCACCTCTGAGATCAGAGCTCTGTCTCCAGCAAACTTCCTTCATTAGCTCCATTACTAACACTGGTGCTTGTCTGGGCAGGACCTCAGGTGTGAAACTGCAACCCTGCAAATGTAAGCTAAAATGCCCAACGTGACACAGATTTTCTCTTTGGTAACAAAAAATTATCAATGTTGGAGAGAGAAAAAAATTCTTGCAACCCTTTAACGATACCTAAGGGACAGAATTAGAAGGTACTAAAGCTACTAGTGCAACCAAACTATATTTTCCCATGATTATTTTTCTCAGCTGAGACAGCTGAGCGCTAATCAGAGGAGTCACCCACCTGGTATAGGATTTGGAATCAAGACAATTTATGCTGTGACATGAATGAAATCTAAGCAATGCAGCTGGCTACTCGGCCCTGCATTCTCACCAACTCAAGGAGATCTTCCGAGCAAAGAGGCAATGTGCTAAAAGAAAACAAATCGAAGAACTGAAATAAAGCAAAACCAAGGTAAACCGTGAGAAAGCAAACTCAAGGGAAGGAGCATATGGGCACACAGTATGTTCTCCACGCTGCTTCGCCACACACATGAACCACAAGGGGTATTTTGGAGAAGGTCACATCCAAGGATAACAAAACACAGCAAAAGCAAAACTAAAAAGGAGCAAATAAATGTTAAATAATAAATATTTATGAAGATGCAGCCAGGAAATAAGTGGAGAGGTATTTTGGTTCAGCTAACTTCGTCCTGAAGGAGTCCACTGCTCTGCCCTTACAAAGAAGGCACTTTGCACTGACCTTCTGCACAGCTCTTAGCCATGATCAGCCCCTTTTCCGAGAAGAACAAACAGCTGCAGAAGCTCAAGGCCTGACCTAAGTAGCGTTCCCGGAGGGCAGCAGGGCTGAGCTGGAGCCTGGGAATTCTCGAATCTGCCCCAGGCATCTCCCACTCCATCTTATGGGGGCTGCTGCTGAAGACCTATCCACACATCTGGGCCCTCCCCTCAAACCTCTCCTCAAGTGTCCATGAGGTTCATACTTACTAAGAGGCAGCCTCCTAAAGCCAAAGCCAGCACCCCGGGATTCAGGGGTTTTAAAGCCTGGGCTCTCCACCATCAGGGCCGAATGCTACACGCCCTTAAGGACAGGGGGAGCAACCCAGGTGGATCCAGGGAGGATTCGTGTCAGGACCACTGTCCCCATCTCCAGCTGCCTCATGCCCACTGTCACTTGCCACCAAGAGCAAGGACTGGCCTCCCTCTGTGCAGCAGCTTAGCCTGGTACCGTGTGCTTAAGCGCACCACCCCGAGGTGGGGCTGGGCCCCATCTGTACTGCCTGCACCTGGAGGATGCTCGCTCAGTGTCCATTCAGTGAAGGAAGGAAAACGGTGTCTCCTGATGTGGGAACTGTCTTCCCATCCACTTCATTTAACCCTCCCACAAGTCAGTTAGAGACCGAGAAACCCTTCGGCACGCTTTGGAATGTCATCCCTTGGATCTGCTCTGTGGGGCATTTGATTTCAGGCCATCTGGGAATGGGCCCCACTCGGAAATATCTCACCCACAAAGCCTGAAACACACTTCTCCAAATGAAAACACTGTTTGCTTGGAGGCAAGGCAAACAAGAGCTGGCAGGGCACTCCGTCACTCCATGAGCACCGTGCCATCCACAGACACCAGCTACAGAGCACAGGCCATGGCTAGCTATGGACAGCTGTAAGGGGAGAGCAGGGAGGGCAAGCTGGCAGAGAAAGCAGCCTGGCTGGAGCAGGGAGTGCCTGGCGGGAGGAGGGGTGGGGCACGTACCCCGGCCCACGGGCAGGGCCTCCGCGTTGCAGCACTGGTCGACCAGCTGGTGGCAGTGCTCCGTCAGGGCCTCCAGCTGGGCCTTATCACAGGACACCCCCAGGAATCTGGCCAGCTGCTCCACCATCGTCACCAGGTCCTGGAAGACAAGTGCAGAGAGCAGAGCAGCCCATCAGAGGCGGGACCTTTTACTGGATATGACTCCAAACTGGGCACACACTGGTAATTTTTTACACTCGGCCTTCCTTACTTAATGCTCACAACAAAGCTGACATCAGCCTTGTCTGGAAATAACACTAAAAGGTTAAGAAATTGCCAAAGCATGCTCAGCTCTCAAGGGGAGATCTTGAATTCAAAACCTGGCCCTCCAGGGAGCAGACGTGAGGTCTTAATAGAGCTGTGGTTAAATTTTAACAGCAGCAAGAAGTAAAACACATATTTCAGAACTTGGTTCTTGTGAGGACCAAGACCTAATGGGCTCCTCTTTCCCTTCCTGCTGCCTCTCAGCTGGAGTCTGGGCTGGCCTTTGGGAGCACGGGGAGGCCCCTCAGGTCTCCAGACATCCCCGCACTGGGAAGGAAGCTCGCTTCAACACAGGCAAGATTCTGTCACGCCTGTTGTACCCTGCCCCATTATTTTACCACGCCTGATAGCGGAATGTCACTGACATGGCTAACAGTCTAGAGGGGCCACCCCCCAGTCCCCCACCCCTCACCACCCTCTCTCCAGGAGATAAGGAGGCACCTCATCTTCTCAGAACCCTGAGCTGTCACCTAGAGGTGCCTTGGTTCCCATTAGGAAAATGCTGGAGGCTGTTTCCTCTCTGTAAGGTTTGTAAAGCAAATTAGCATAGGAAAGCCAGTGAAAAGACGATTTCATTTCTGTAATGCAGCACTTCCGAAACCTTAAAACATCCTCTGACGGCTGTTGTGAGTGTCAGCTCCTCCCTGAATCCCACAGCGTGCTGGACTCCGGCAGCAGCTGTTGCAGGGTCTGATTCTGGCCTCGCACTGCCTCCCACAGGGAGGGGCGGGGTGCAGCCCAAGCACGGGGTTTGACTCAGAGTCAGAGGAACAATTATCAGAGAAAGCCGAGGAATAAAAAGAGCTCCCTTTCCCTTGCCCTGCCACCAAGTATTCTACCGAAAAGAAAAAATCAGCCTGCTGGAGCGGCCAGCAGAATCTTCGTGGGGCAGCTCACTGTCAGTGTGACGTCCATCTCGGAGGAAGGGGTGGTGCTGCCAGGCTGCGTCCAGCAACATGCCACAGGACGAATGCTGGTTATGAAACCCAGCAGGGATCAGGCAGCACCCAGGTTGGCCAGCAGGTGACAGCCCACTCGCCCCACTGAGCCTCGCATTCCCACCTGGAACTCACGATGCTCAGCAGCAAGAGGCTGCACAGCATGGCACAGAGCCAGCATGTCTGGGTCGAGCCTTGGCACTGGCAGGTACTAGCGTCCCACCCGCAACTGGTAAGAACACCCTGCAACGTGACTGCGTGGATGAAGTGGGGAATACTGGGGGTGCCTGGCACAGTGCCTGGCACAGTGCCTGGCTCGTGGGAAAAGCCACGGTAATTGCGGCGCCATGGAGCCCAGGCCGTGAGGGCTCCGGCAGGAAGCATCCCTCTCAAACCCGGGGTGAGAACACACTGACACACACCACAGTCCTGGAGAAAACCAGGGGCACTCAGGGCTAGTTTTCTGGAGTAAGAGGTAAACAATATTAATTCCTAAAAATGTGATTACAGTCACGTAATCTCCATTAAAACAAGCCATTGCTGAAGTTGGGGAAAAGGGGAGGGCCAGTGGGAGGGGGAGGTGGGGAGGGATAGCCTGGGGAGAAATGCCAAATGTGGGTGAAGGGGAGAAGAAAAGCAAAGCACACTGCCATGTGTGTACCTACGCAACTGTCTTGCATGCTCTGCTCATGTACCCCAAAACCTATAATCCAATAAAAAATTAAAAAAAAAAAAAAAAAAGAAAGAATAAACCCAAAGTAAAATGCTGACTGTCCTAGGAATAGCATTTAGTCACTCAGCCCGGCTTTGGGAGAAAATAAAGTCTCGGCACTGGCCCCAGCGGCTCTGAAAGGTGCAGGCAGGGCTGGTGGCCTTGACCCCGATGGACTGAAAGCAACAGGTCTGACCACTTTCACTGGGCAGAGAACAATGAACTTCCCTCGGGCCTTGGAAGAAAGTGTGTGTTCGGACTTTAAAACTTCAGTCCCCCATCACTGAGGAAGTTGAAGCTCCAGGAAGAAACTGCTGCCCCCACAGCTGCCCCACAGCTGTGTGCTGCGGGCCAGGCTGGGTGCTTTTCCTGTTCACCCTCTCATGCTGGGGCCCTCACCGGCCCTGGGCAGTGTGTGTCCAATGCCATGTGGCTGTCACAGGTGGCATAAAGCTGTCACAGGTGGCATAATCGTGACCAGCTGACAGACACACACCCAGTGCCCCAGAATTCCGTTCCTGGGCGTGGGCCCAGTAAGCACCAACGCTGACGCCCACCGAGACTCAGCGTTCACGGAGACTTTATTCGTGACCACCCCAAAATGAAAACGACCTGCGCACCCCACAGAGCTGGCTACAGAAGCTGTGGTCTCTTCACGCTGCAATGCAGACCGACCACAGCAAGGAGGAGAACAGAGCTCTGCACCACAGGTGGAGGAGCCTCACGGTCTGCGCAGAAGCCAGACAGCAACACACAGGAGAATCCCACACCCGGCAGAGGCTCCAAAGCACACCACGCCGAGCTCCGCTGAGGGAGGTCAGAGCGCGCAGTGGCCTCTGGAAAGCAGGGGTGTCAACTGCAAGAAGCTGGAATGTTCTGGATCTGGAAGGTGACTGTCTGGAAGTAACAGGTAAAAAGCTGTCAAGCCCGGCATGTGTGTGAAGTACCCCTCACTGTGCATGGTACCTCCACAAAAACGTACAGGCAGGCGGGCCAGTGCCAGGCCTGCACAGAGGCGCTGCTCACACAGTCCTTCTGGCCACACCGTGACGGTGGTGCTGTCATCTCCCCACTCCACAGAGGCTTGGAGTGGTCAGGACTTTGCCTGAGCAGCCCATGTCCAGAGCCCGCACTGTTCCCTGGCACCAAAGGAAACCATGGCCAGTGGCTCCACAGAGGTCAGCAGTAGCACCAGCGCTCCAACCTGCCTGGACCACACCTCACCTCTACTACGCCGTCCTCTGGGCATAAGCAGGGACCCTAAATGTGGCTCTGTCTCAAGCTGTGTGGACAAGAGGCAGAGAGGGGGGTGGGAGGTCCACGCATGGAGTCAGACAGGCTCACCCAGCAGTTGGCTCCATGATGTGTGTGACCCTGGACGACTGCATGACCTCACTCTTTCCTCATGGTGACACAGCCATGGTCCCATTCGGGAAACCTACAGCATGCGCCAGCTGGCAGCAGACCCACAGATGGGGTCCTTCCTGCACACCAAGCAAGCCCCGAAAGCCCACGCTCCTGCGAAGGTCAACCTGGCCCGTGTGAACCACAGGACCAGGTGCAAGGGCACAAAGAAACCCAAAAGTCACAGCAGCAAACACAAGGCACATGCCCCACCCCAGGGCCACAAGACATACACCCCACCTCAGCGCCATAGGGGACCTCCCGCGGCTCTGTTCAGTCAGGTCTGGAGTCTTCCTGCAGGTGTGGGGGAAGCACAAGGCCGGCTTTCTTGCCCCTGGGCTTCTAACCTCCACCCCCAGCACTGGCTCACCCTCCCTCACACTCACTCTCCTTTCTGTCTACAGGCCGACCTTCTCCCCATCCCAGCTCCCACGGGCTGCTACTCAACCTAAACCTGCTTGTCTGTCAGCCACTGGCACTAGCAGCCCCATAGCCTGGCCTTGTCTGTTCCCTATACCGACATGGTTTCCCAGCGGGGGCTCAGGCCTCCACCTCCTGGAACCAGCTCGCAGTCCACACCTGCACCCCATCCTCTCTCCTCTTTTCCAAAGGCCAGGCCACAGGTGTCTCCTGCCTGCCCTGCCCCCGCCACCACAGCCCCTCTGCCCAGGCTCCAGCCTCCAAACCTTCCTGCCTCTGCCTGGACAAGGACCTTGTCCCATTTGTCCTTTTCAACTCCTCCCCCAGCTCCCGCCTCCTCCCAACACCTAGAAAATGCTCGGTCTCTTCTGTGGTGACCCAGGCTCCCCAAGCTACAAGCTGCCTTGTTTCACTGCAGACGCTGGCCTCTCAATGCCCTATCAACCGCCACTATACAGCACTCCAAAGGCCCCCTGATAAGCCAAGCCCCAGTCCCCTCCCCATGCCCACCTTCCTGGGTCCCTGAGCCTTGCACGGCATTGCTGCCCCAGTCCATCTCATGCTTTGAGAGGCTGCTCCCCATATCTCCAACCCTACTCCAGCCCATGGACTGTCCCACCCCCTCTTCTGTCCCTCCTCAGGCTCCTCCTCCTCCTCCCGCATGCCCACTGGAAAGGGCTCTCACATCAGTAGCTCCAGGCTGGCCGAGGGCCAGGGCAGCAGCACTCACCCGATGCATGTCTTCATACTTGAGAAAAAGCACGTTCGAGTCCATGCGGTGCTCCCAGAACTCCTGCACATGCTCAAACCATGAGCCGTAGCCCACTGCGGACACAGGGGAAAGGATGAGCCACAGCTGGGCAGGAGAAGCAAGCACATGAGGTCATCCCCACCCCACAGGGCAGCCCTCCCGCCGCCACACAGCTGTGATGAGGACATCATGATCCCTGCAGACAAGTCTTGCAAATGAGGACATCACAATCCCTGCAGAGAAGCCTGGCAAAGGCCCCGAGGCACTCATGTCCTGAGCCATCCCAGCCCTCCCACCTTCAACACGCCTTGAACGCCTGACCATGGGAGTGACAGCCTCTGAGAAGGTGGTCTCCACGGTACCTGGGAGTAGCCCGCAACAGTGCCCGTCACTTTATCCCCGTAACAAGTGGTCGCCGGGAAGAGAACAAAGCCCAGAGAGGCACAGGCCACTAGTTTGCTGGTGGGGGCAGAGTAGGGTGCAGGAGCTGAAGGACAGATCCAGAACATGGGGCCTTGCTGGGCAGGAGGCCACAGGCAGTAGCCTCAGTAAACAGAGGAACTCTCCACGGGACCTGAAAGCTGAAGACGGGCATGGAGTCCTGTCTTGACCTCCAAGAGGCCAGTGCTCCCGCACCCACACCTGAGCCCTGCGCTTCCTGCGTGACCCAAGCTGCCTCAGAGCCCCTGGTGTAGGGTGGGGCACACAGGCAGGGACCAACTTATGGGGTTTCCAACCCGCTTTGCAGTGTTCTTTTTTTTTGAGACGGAGTTTCACTCTTGTTACCCAGGCTGGAGTGCAATGGCATGATCTCAGCTCACTGCAACCTCCGCCTCCAGGGTTCAAATGATTCTCCTGCCTCAGCCTCCCGAGTAGCTGGGATTACAGGCATGCGTCACCATGCCTGGCTAATTCTGTATTTTTAGTAGAGACGTTTCTCCATGTTGGTCAAGCTGGTCTTGAACTCCTGACCTCGTGATTCACCCACCTCAGCCTCCCAAAGTGCTGGGATTACAGGCATGAGCCATCGCACCTAGCCATGCAGGGTTCTTTATAAAAAGCACAAATCCTCTCCTTCTGGCCACATATCCTGCCCACACTGAGGGTTTCTTCCAAGGGGACCTCCATATGACAGAGAGGAAGGCGTCCATTAAGGATGTCTGGCCAGTGCGGGGCGGACTCTGCTGAGCAGTGGGAAGTGGCTCACTGGATGAGGCCCAGAGATTCCTCTGCTGGGCCCTGCCCCCAGGTTGCCTGAGGATTCCCAGAAAGGAGCTGCACCCACGCCCCACCCAAACCTCCACTTTCTGCAGAATAAAGCTGAGTCCAGAGAAGGAAAAAGACTTGCCCAAGTAAGCAAACAGATCACAGGGGCCCAGACAGGGATGCCCAAGGCGCCTGACTGCTGGCCTGTCCGGGGGGATCTAAGTCCACGTAGATGAGCCCCTGGGGCAGGAGGAAGAGTCAAATGGCCCTGCAAACATGGAAGGTAAAAACCCCACTTCATTCCAAGGAAGAATGCGAGAAGATGTCAAAAACAGGCATCTTGGTGACATGGAGGTGCACGGGAAAGAGTTTTAGGACTCTGGGAGAAGCCAGGCATGAAGGACTGCACACGTGGTCCTGTGCTGCTGCGTGGAGCAAGTGCACCCAGTCCCCAGAGCAGCATCAGGGAGAGGAATCAGTGGCGGACTGCTGAGTAGTGAGGCTTCCCACGGGAATGCCTGAGAGGAACAGGGGGTGCTGGGCCCTCCACACCTTTCCCTGGGCTCCACGCTTCTCTGTGAAAGGGAAGGCAATTGTCCACCTGAAATACTAACAATAACAAAATGTCACTGCCCACCCCAGGGAGGACACGGACACAGAAGCTATGTGCCACACCGCGGGTGTCACAGGGAGCCTGTCTACACAGCGTCCTCCCACCGCGGGTGTCACAGGGAGCCTGTCTACACAGCGTCCTCCCACCGCGGGTGTCACAGGGAGCCTGTCTACACAGCGTCCTCACACCGCGGGTGTCACAGGGAGCCTGTCTACACAGCGTCCTCACACCGCGGGTGTCACAGGGAGCCTGTCTACACAGCGTCCTCACACCGCGGGTGTCACAGGGAGCCTGTCTACACAGCGTCCTCCCACCGCGGGTGTCACAGGGAGCCTGTCTACACAGCGCCCTCCCACCGCAGATGTCACAGGGAGCCTGTCTACACAGCGCCCTCCCACCGCGGGTGTCACAGGGAGCCTGTCTACACAGCGCCCTCCCACCGCGGGTGTCACAGGGAGCCTGTCTACACAGCGCCCTCCCACCGCGGGTGTCACAGGGAGCCTGTCTACACAGCGCCCTCCCACCGCGGGTGTCACAGGGAGCCTGTCTATACAGCGCCCTCCCACCGCGGGTGTCACAGGGAGCCTGTCACCTGCCTCCAGAGCCCTGTGCCCTGAGGCGTGCAGAGCATGGTTGCCATCTGCAAGGTTGTTTACGCAGGTCCCCTGCGCCGCCCTGTGCCGTGGCCTCTGAGCCCAGCCTGCCTAGACATGGTGTGCTTTCAGGATTTCTGTGAATGTTTGTTTCCAATTTCTTCAGGACATCAGGCAGGGAGGTCCCTCAGGATGTGTGCACTCATGGAGTGACAATGAAGGATGGAACACAGGCTTGAGAAGTGGGCCTGTCTGAGGGTCTGCTGTCACCAAGGCACGTGTGTGTGACCTTGCACTCTGTGGAGGACAGGCCTGGGATTAGCGACATGAAGAGCCCTCTATTAACGTAAGTTTTAACTGCTCTGGCCTGAGCAAGAAGTTTGTAGCCTCTTCCACCTGCTGGTCTGAATGTGGCAGCCTCTGGCCATTTATGGGTGTTGTCCCCATGCTCTGCAGAGAGCAGAGTCCATGCTGGACCCCAGGAAATGGTTTCAGAAGTCCATGAGTGGTTGCTCCGAAAGCCAAGTGGATCACAAGGGCAGGTGCCAAGGCCAGAAAGCTGGGGAAGAGACACTGGACAGAGGCCTGGAGCAGACTCAGGGAGCCTCAGGTCTGGGGCCTCCTGCCCCTTGCAGGCAGGGCCAACTCTCAGCTGGCACAGTGGAAGCAGAGGCTCAGGGCAGTAAACAGAATCACTCCAGGGCTTTGAGGCACCCATGGGTTTTTAAACTGCAAGCACCACCCTGTCAGAAGTCTCCTTCAGCCAGGCCCGGCAGCAGCTCCAGCCTCACTGCCCTAAGCTCCACTTAAACTCAGGGGCATTACGTTCCAGGATCTCCATCCTAACCTTGTCACATAACTCCTCTGCAGAAGCCCTGAGAAGCCACACTCAACAATACGGCTGAGCATGACTTCAGCTGGGAAAGAAAACAGAAAGTGTATTTTCGGCCTTGGGCAGGGAAGAGTCTCAGTGCAAATTTAATTAAAGTGCAGTGATAGCACGTTTCAAGCCCCTCTGCCTGCACACCCTACACTGCTCACTTTCTGTCCCAAGACCCCCAAAGCTATGTCTGGCATGGGGAGGCCCCTCCGGAAGGCAGGAACAGAAGCGCACTGAGGAGCTCCTGCCACCACTCCCAAGGGACAGGCAGCCCAGCGGGGCACATGAGTAAAGACTGGGAGCTTGTGGGACCCAGAGAGGGTCCTGGTCCCACCTTCCGTGGGAGCAGGGTAGGGTGGAACCCAGCCTCGCTCCTCCACAGGGGCTGGAACGGAAGCCAGAAAACAGCAGCCAGCACTCTCGGCCAGACTGTCCTCTTCCCTTTGGGCACAAGTGTGCCCTGCCCCGGCGACTTGCCTGCCTGTGCCTGAGTTCAGCCAAAGGCCCATGCCTGTCACCCTTAGCTAGTCTCCACACCAGCCTCTATCACTAGCAGCAGTGATACCTGGACCTCCATTTTTACTGTTTTCACTCTCTCCCTTGTTTGGAACCTAGGCAGGAAGGAGGGATGTTTTAACTGGGGAACTTCTCAGACACCCCAACAGCGTGGCAGAAGAGAAAGGCTCTGGGGTCAGATGGACCTGCTCGGCCACACGCCAGCTCTACAATTTTAGCCATGCTCATGACGCCCTCAGCCTCAGTGTCTTCATCTGTGAAGTGGACTGAGGGCCTGACCTACGTGGTCACTGTCAGAACTAGAGACCGAGGTGGGGAAGCACTGAGCACCTGCCAGGCTGCCCATGCAACACACCACTCCTGTTCTAGCATGCCACAGGCTGTAACACTCACACTTGTCATTCATAAACCTCCGGCAGAATTCTTGGAAGGTGCCTCGGTAGCTCATGGTCCGCAGAGAGCGGTGGAACTGGTAATAAGACACCACCAGGTCCTTGGGGTTGCGAGCCATGTAGATGACCTGTGGGCGACAGGAGCAGGGTGAGTTCATGGCTCCTTCCCTCCCAGGCAGGACCACCCGATACAAGCCAGCCCGCTGTGGCTGCTGGTGCACCTCACAAACCAACACCTGCTTCCAACATCCAGTTTGGGGCCATGTGCACAGCTGCCGGGTGCTGTTTCACTGTTTCAGCAGCAAAGTACCTACCCTTGTCCACACAGTAGTGCCGGCCAGGATAATTACTTGCCGGGTGCGATGGCTCACGCCTGGAATCCCAGCATGTTGGGAGGCTGAGATGGGCAGATCACAAGGTCAGGAATTCGAGACCAGCCTGGCCAACATGGTGAAACCCCATCTCCACTAAAAATACAAGGCATGGTGGTGCACACCTGTAATCCCAGCTACTCAGGAGGCTGAGGCGGGAGAATCGCTTGAACCCGGGAGGCAGAGATTGCAGTGAGCTGACACTGCGCCATTGCATTCCAGCCTGAGCAACAGAGTAAGACTCCCATATCCAAAAAAAAAAAGAACCACAGGCCTTGGCATTTGATGCAGTTGAAAAACAAAGAGAATCTGGTCCCAAGGCAGGCTTAGGCTGGCCACTGCCGTGTTCAATTGTGAGGGAAAACCAACATTAAAAACTTGGGTAAAATGCTAGAGACGCATGACCCAAGACGACCTCGGAAGGGATCTTCACACTGGGATCCTTGGGAAGACAGCCTCCGAGGCCAGGTAAGTGCCAGGGACCTGCATGTGTGTGGCACAGAGGCCTTGGGCTCCTCTTGGGGACACATCTCGGGAGGTAGAGGAGGTGGCAGCTTACCTTGGAGTCCCCATTGTGGAGGTCGGAGGGCAGAAAGCGGTAGGGCAGGTGGCTCTTGATGAGGCGGGGAGAAGTCAGTTCCTGCATGGAGTCGGAGGGAGAGGCAGGTCAGAGGCAGAGGTGAGAGCAAGGGAGGAGTGAGGCCAAGAGGGGGCGGCCAGAGGAGGAAAGAAGGGGTGGCGTTCAGAAGAGGCAGATATCAGAGGGAAAGGTGGGTCTAGGGAATGGGAAGAGCCAGGAGAGCAGCAGGGTAAGAGGGAGGGGTGAGAGCCAAGGGGACGGGTGAGGCAGGGGGAGAAGGACCAGAGGATGAGGGAAGGGGTGGGGCCCAGGGGAGAAGGTTGGGGGTCAGAGGGAAAGGCAGGGCCAGGAAAGGGGAGGGGTCAGAGCAAGAGGAGGCAAGTCTATCATTCCCTGGTCCCCTCTCCCAGAGAGGTTCTCTGACCCAGCCAGGACAGCTTCCCTTGTCACCTGAAACAAACGTTTGAGACATGAGCACATCCTGGCTGGACCCTGGGGGTCCCTGTCCTTGGCCTGGGGAGTCCACTTATAGCCACAGCCACAGGGTCTGCTCAGAGGGCCTGGGAGGTACTGGCCTGGCTTGGAGTGGCATCGGAGGGCAGCAGAGGCAGCAGGCCCAGTGGGTGCCGCCAGGCTGGCACTGGACCACACAGCAACCTAGCCTGATACGCTTGCTGCTCCCACCTGCCCCTCAGGCCTTCCTATCAGCAGCCAGGGTGGTCCTGTAAGCCACAGTCAGCACCATGCCCCTCTGCTCAGAGCCTGTCTTCCCAGTTGCCCTAGGAATGGGCCCAGCCTTCATGCAGCTAAAGAGCCCGGGACTGGTGCCTGCAGTCCCCAGGCTTGCCTCCTGCTCTGGAGGGCTGGGCCCCTGGCACTGTGAGGTCTCTGCTCACCAGGCCCTCTGCTCAGGACCTGCCTTAGACATCTCCATGGGAGACTTGCCAGTCCTCTCCCGATCTGCTCCCCTCCCAGTGCTGATCACTGTCTAACCACTATGGCTTCCTGGGCTGAGAGGCTGAGGCCTGAGGCTGTCAGTCACTGCAGCCCAATGCCAAGAGCAGTGCCTCGGCACAAAAGTACTGAACGCCTCTTAGACGGTTCCACATGGACAAGGAGAGCAAGGTGGCCACTCAGAGCTGAGAGGCTGGGGTGCAGAGAGGGGCCATGGAGGGCCACAAGGGCCTTATGACACGGCACTCTCGGAAATGGGTTTCAGAACGCTGCTCTAGAGGGATGGGGACAGGCGTGGCGGAGGCTGCAGTTATGAACATTCAGGTTGGAGGCTGGAACTAAAGAGGTTCAGCAGATGGAGTCAGGGGCCTCTGGGTGTCTTTGGGGTGGGGGGCAGGGCTCTGGGGTAACATTTATTTCAATCTTGATACCAAATATCTGATGCAAATGCAACCTACTCAGTTCCCTCAGAGGAGGGCCTCCAGGGAAAAGTGAGGGGGAGGCCCAGGGCCTGTTCCCCCCGAATGGCCCCTCAGCCCTTTGCCCCCCAGGCATCGACTTCCTTTCCACCTCGCAGACTCCCTGATGCTGACGGGTCACTCACACCCTGATCAGGTTCCAGGTCACTGCAGCTCAGGCCTGCCAGGTTCTCTCCAGGCTATCTGCTCTCCCCTAACCCACAGAGCCCTCAGAAGCAACTGTCACTCAACGGGGGTAACTGCAGAAATACCCTAAAGCGGTGCTGGAACAGGTGCCGCTGGCCCCAGGTACCTTGATGATGTCCAGGCCTGGCTGTGGATATTCCAGGACCGGGAGCTGCTCGTCGATGTTCATCAAGCCGATCTCATCAGGGTCCGCGCCCTGGCTCACCAAGTAGACCACCTCCTGCAGCAAGCTGGTGCCTGGAGGGGAGAAGCCCCCACAAGTGGTGCTCAGAGGAAGCCCAAGCGCCCAGCCCTGTACTTGGGTCAATGCCTGCTGCCCAAGAAGGGGCTCAAGAGCCCCAGGTGGGGCCCAGGGTGACTCGAGTCTGGGAGAGGAGGGCGGGGCCCCGCATAGTCTCAGCCTGAATCCCCCGTGCTGGGCACAGGCCAGTTGGCTCTGATTCTCAGAGGGGCCAGGATGCTTCACAAAGCTTTTAGGAGAACAGAACCCAGCGCCTGTTATGGAAGAGGCTCAGGGGCTGTAACCACTGAGTGACTCAGCCTGAGGCTTCTAGAGGCCGAACCTGGCAGTTTACACAGGAGTGATAGGTTGGGGGAATGGCCTGCCAGCCAAGATGAGAAAACGACATCTGCCCAGTATCTAATAAAGCTGTGTATATAGCCCATGATCCTGGAACTATCCTGGGAGACACCCGAGGGGAGCCAGTGCTTGCCTACCAGTACACAGGTTCTAGAACAATCTTGGCCACGTCACTCATAAAGTAACTTGGAAACACAAATATCCATCAGCAATAGAATGAATAAGTTGTGACCATGGGACACTAGACAGCAGCAATGAAAAAGAATGAACTGCTAGATGCAGCATGCCAAGTCCCACAGACAATGACACAGTGTCAACCCACCCCAAGGCCCTCTGCAGTACAATCCTGTATGTCCCATTGGCATGAGGTTCAAGAATGGGCTAAACTAAACTGGAGTGACAGAGGTGAGAACAGTGGTTATATCTGAGGTTGGTTATTGATTCAGAGAAGACACAAAGGACACTGACTGGTCTAGAGCTATTAGCTTGGTCTGGTGGGAACTACATGGAAGCATGCTACAATATTAGGATACATGGAGGTTTTCATCTGTGGCTCCTGGCTCATGATTCCCCTAGCTCTTTTCACAGTCTTTTGTCATAACATTGGAGCACTCCAGGCCTCAGAAGCAGGGCTCAGAAACAGCATCTGTCTCTCCTTCTCTCTGACCTTCTCCTGCCCTCCCTTTCACCTGCTCCTTTTTCTTCCCAAGGCAGGCCATATAAACAGAAATGTACTTGAATCTTCCTCTGTCTTTCTGTCTTGGAGCTGACCATGAAGAAATTCCCTGGCCTGGGCACAGTGGCTCATGCCTGTAATCCCAGCACTTTGGGAGGCCGAGGTAGGAGGACTGCTTGAGGCCAGAAGTTCAAGACCAGCCTGCACAGCACAGCAAGACATTGTCCCTACAAAAAATAAAAAATAAAAACACTAGCTGGGCATGGTGGTTTACATCTGTAGTGCCAGCTACTCAGGAGGGTTAGGTAGAAGGATCGCTTGAACCCAGGAGGTAGAGGCTGTAGTGAGCTGTGACTGCGCCACTGCACTCCAGCCTGGGCAACAAAGTGAGGACCTACCTCAAAAAGCAAAAGGAAAAATTCTCCGATCTACCTTGTCTGACTGCGTGGGTCATGAGACCCCTGCCTGGGAGAAAGGAATGCTGCACAGACAGGACTTGCAGGGTCTCCCCCTCTCCCTGAGGGTGCTGGGATCATGCCCCTTTTGTCCAACCCCATTTCTACACAGCTGTCCATGCTTCAATCATGCCTAGCCAATGAAGACTCCATAAAAGGCCCAAGAGGACAGGGTGTGAGGAGCTTCCAAAGAGCTGAACACATGGGGTTCCTGGAGGGTGGCTTGCCCCAAGAGGGCATGGAAGCTCTATACCCCTCTTCCATCCTCCATTTGCACCTCTTCCTCTGGTATTCATTGGAAGCCTTTGCAACATCCTTTATAATAAACCAGGCAAGTCAGTGTTGGCCTGAGTTCTGTGAGTCACTCTGGCAAATTAGTCAAATCTGGGTGGGGAATGTGCAAACCCCAATTTATAGCCAGTGGGTCAGAAGCGCAGGCAAAACAAGCTGGGGTTTGAGGCTGGCATGGGAAGTGGGGGCAGTCTTGTGGGACTGAGCCCTCGCCCTGTGGAATCTCGTGCTGTTTGCCAGTGAGCAGTGCTGGAATTGAATTGGATGGGGGACACCCAGCTGGTGCTGCTGTAGAACTGAGTGCCTGCTTGCTGGTGGGGAGAAATCCCCACCCCGTTGGTCACAGGAGTCCTCTGTGTTGACTGTTGTGGTGCAAGGGCAGAGGAAAAGCAGATGAAGGGCTTTTTCCAACTCATATGCATGTATGAGACATAATTCAATTAAAAAGAGAAAAACCACCTCTGCCCACCAGTGGCCCGGTCATCGTAACCTGCTCTCCCAAGACTGCAGCGAGACTAGGACAATGGGAAGGGCCTGACCAAGCCCAATGTGCCATGGCGTGAAAGACAGGGAGAGGCTGCGGGAGAACAAGGACCCGTGTATGCTGAGGACACCCTGAACTCCCAGAAGAAATGGGCACAGCTTACGCCACTGTGGTTCCTTCACATGCACAGCTCTGGTTTCTGCCACTGGCTCCTCATCTCCTGACGCTGAAGATGGTGACAGCCCAGAGTGCAGCCACATCCCCCTCCCTCCAGGCCACCACCCAGGCCCACCCCTCCACACTTCAGCCTCCAGGGCACATGCCTATGAACTCCAGGCAGCTCACCTGCTGCCCAGCGCCTCAGCAGGACCCAGCCAGCTCTGGGGGCGGCGTCTGAGGCTGCTCCGCAGCCCATGCTGCCTGTGTCAGCAAGCAGCTCCTCCACCCGACAGGGGCTCGGGCCAGATGGTGGCCTTGCTGCGGCTCACCCTGCTCCTCTCCTCTCTCCATGCCTCAGTGAGCCCTGCCAACCCTGCCATCAGGTATGTCCAGAGCTGACCCTCCCCCAAGGACAATGCATCCTCACACCTGAGCTGCTTCCCACAAGGGCTCCTCCCTGGCTCTCTGCTGCCACCCAGCTCACCCTACCTTCTAGTCCAGGGGTCCCCAACCCCGAGGCCACAGGTTTGTGGCCTGTTAAGAACTGGGCTGAACAGCAGGAGGTGAGTGGTGGGCATGACCATCCGAGTTCAGCCTCCAGCGGGAACATCAGATTCCCACAGGAGCACGAACCCTACCGTGAACTGCACGTGTGAGGAATCTAGATTGTGTGGTCCTTATGAGAATCTAATTAAACCCTGATGATCTGAGGTGGAACGGTCCCATTCTGAAACCATCCCCACCACCTGGGTCCGTGGAAAAACTGTCTTCCTCAAAGCCAGTCTGTAGCCACAGAAAGGTTGGAGATCACCCTTCTAGTCTGATTTGAAACCAGCAGCCAAAACTGTAGCTTTAACATGGAAGTCAGGCCCCACCACTGTCTACTGCAGCCATCTGGGGCAGCTCTGCATCTCTGCAGAGTCATGGCAAGGCCTTTACCATGTCCCACTCCTTCACTACCTGGCTCTCCCCTGAGCTCCCTCCAGCCTCTGAGCCCAGCCAGCTCTTCCCTAGGCTGCTGGCACTGGAACCCCTGCCTGAAACCCTCATCCACAGCACAGGACAGGATCCTCCTGGCACCTACTGATAAAGCCACACACCTGACACGGGCAAAGCAATGCCCACCGCCAACCCTGCAGTGCCCCCCCCCCACAGCTGGCCTCGAGCAGGAGGGTACATGAGCACTGCCCTTACAGACAGGGAAACAAGGCGCTGGGAAGTGGGGGCCATGCTTGGAGCTGCAGCTGCTGCCCGACAGGCCAGGTGGGGCCAAGGCAGGAGTGAGAGGTGGAGGAGTCCTAGTGAGGCCTGCCGTGTTGCTGCATGACAAACAGGTACATGCATTTTTGTACAATATTTCACTTTTGTACAGTATTTCATGTGGCTGTGGCCACGCTGGGTCCCCTGCAGAGCAGTGAGGATGACCATGCTGCTGCCGAGGTGGGAGCCCAGGAGGGCACCAAGCTTCCTCATCACAGGCCCCAGCAGATGCACCCTGATGGGAAGAGCCAAGCTTTCAAACAGAAACCAGGGGAGCCAGCAGGGCAGGGCCACCTGCTAGCCAGTAACTCGAGCTGCACACACTCTCTAGCAGCTCTTCTCAAGTCAGCTGGAAGCAGTAATTTACAGAAGAGCTTCTGCTGACACCACTGCAATCACTCCTGAGTGGAAACCAATCAATACCCCCTGCAGCAGAGAGCAGTGCACCCTGACACCTGGACTTGGGTCCCAGCCTGCGGGAGTCCACTGCAGTGCTTGGTGGAACTCCCCAGGATGCTAGAGCATAGCCTGTTTCAACACCGGGCACAGAGCCCATCAAAATTCCCACTGGAACTCAGCACAGAAAGCATCAAAACTTATCAGAATGGCCTGGCAGGCACTAGGACCCCATGACTGACACCCTTTGATTTTCACTCATAGGATTCACCAGTGGCACCTGTGATAGGGACAGGTGGCAGGGAAATATGGCGCAGAAGAGGGCAGGTCCTCAGCAGGGGCCCCACCCTCAAGCCAAAAGGCCTGATACCAAGGCCCAAAGTGAGACCTTACATCCCCGTTTTTCCACTCAAATGTTATCTTTTCAAAAACCACATCCTGCCCTGAATCCTGTGCCTATTAAAACCCCAGACTCAGCCAGCAGAGAGAGGAGAAGCTACTGGATGTCAGAGACTATGGTTGGATATCAGACAGAAGCAGTGTGACTTCAAGAGACAGGTTGATGGTATAGCTTCAGAGAGTCTGGCCATTCATGGCCAGACTCTAGGGGAAAATAACCTTCCCACTCCATCCCATTTTCAGCTCCCCTTCCCGCTGAGAGCCACTTTCATCAGCAATAAAATCCCTCATACTAGCCATCTTCTTGTTCATGCGGCCTCATTCCTCCTAGATGCCAGACAAGAACTCAGGTACCACAAGTGCTGTGCAAAAGGCTGTCACACTGATCCTTTGCCCTCACTGGCAGAAGGCAGCTGCCTCACACAAAAAGGCAGAGGATCCACTGAGCTGGTAACACTTCAGCCATCCTTGGATGGCCGACTTAAAAAAGCACTGTTACACTTCCTCTGGGGCTTCAGGGGTTGCAGGTACTCCCCC